ACTCCTGGGCTCAAGCGAGTCTCCTGCCTCAGCCTCCCAAGTAGCTGGGACTACTGGTGCCCGGCCATTTTTTGGTTGCAGCCGTCATTGTTGTTTGGCGGGCCTGGGCTGGATTCGAACCCGCCATCTTAGTTGTATGTGGTTGGCGCCTTAGCCACTTGAGCCACAGGTGCCGAGCCCCTAGTGTGTGTTTTGAAAAAAAATTATTTTTTCAGTTCTTAGCCATGATCAATGATGTTCTATTACTCAGAGTTAGAGAGTGACCTCTTGGTGTGGAAATGCTCTCAGTGTCAACCACCTTGCCCACTAAAAATAAGACTTATTTGGGCATGGCTGGAGGGCCTATGGGGAGAGGCAACTAGAAATTTCTTTGTTTGTGGGAGAACAAGGTATTTCATAGGAAAAAATTTACCCAAAGAGTAGTATCCTGGGACCAAGGTTGGTGTGAAAAGTGGAAGGGCAGTGTCCTCTGGCCATGCCTTCTCAACCCAAAGCAATTGCTACACATCTGTAATGTCTCAATCTTTTTTTTCTTTTTTTGAGACAGAGTCTCATTATGTTGCCCTTGATAGGGTGCCGTGGCATCATAGCTCACAGCAACCTCACTCTTGAGCTAAGTGATTCTCTTGCCTCAGCCTCCCAAGTAGCTGGGACTACAGGCACCCACAACACCTGTTTTGTTGTTGTTGTTGTTGCAGTTTGGCTGGGGCCGGGTTTGAATCCACCATCCTGGTTACATGGGGCCTGTGTCCTACTCACTGAGCCACAGGTGCCGCCCTGCACATCTATAATGTCAAAACCCCGAAGTGCAGAAGGCATTAAAAAAAACTAGAAGAACTGTTTCCTAGAAACCTTTGTAAGATACAGACAAGGCACACTTTAGCAATGTGCTGTTTCTTTTTTTTCAATTGGGACTCATTGAGAGTACGAAGAATTAGGTTACACTGATTGCATTTGTTAGGTAAAGCCTCTCTTATAATTGTGTCCCACCCCCAAGAGGTGTGACATACATTGTGACCCCCCAGCTCCTGCTTCCTCCCCTCTCCTCACTTGCTCATTCCCCTCCCCCTTCCTCCTTTGTATTAGCTCACCTACTGCCTTCATGTCAGAATTGAATACATTGGATTCTTGCTTCTCTATTCTTCTGATGCTTTACTAAGTAGTGTTTCACCTCCATCCAGGTTAATACAAAAGTTGTAAAGTCTCCATCTTTTTTAGTGGCTGAATAGTATTCCATGATATACATATACCATAGCTTGTTAATCCATTCCTGAGTTGGTGGGCATTTAGCTGTTTCCACATTTTGGTGATTGTAAATTGAGCTGTGATAAACAGTTTAGTGCAAATGTCCTTATGATAAAACGTTTATTTTTCTTCTGGGTAGATGCTTAGTAATGGGATTACAGAATCAGATGGGAGATCTAATTTGAGTTCTTTGAGGTTTCTCCATACATCTTTCCAAAAAGGTTGTGTTAGTTTGCAGTCCCACCAGCAGTGTAAAAGTGTTCCCTTCTCTCCATATCCACGCCAGCATCTGCAGCTTTGAGACTTTGTGATGTGGACCATTCTCACTGAGATTAGATGATATCTCAGGATAGTTTTGATTTGCATTTCTCTGATGATTAGGGATGATGAGCATTTTTGCATGTTTGTTAGCCATTCATCTATCTTTTTGGGGGGGGGGCAGAGTCTTATTTTGTTGTCCTCAGTAGAGTGCCATGGCATCATAGCTCATAGCAACCTCAAACTCCTAGGCTCAAGCAATTCTCTTGCCTCAGCCTCCCAAGTAGGTGGGACTATAGGTGCCTGGCCACAACAGCTGGCTATTTTTAGAGACAAGATCTCCCTCTGACTCAGGCTGGTCTCAAACTCATGAGCTCAGGCAGTCCACCTGCCTCAGCCTCCCAGAGTGCCCGCCACAACACCTGGCTATTTTTTTGTTGCACTTGTCATTGTTGTTGAGCTGGTCTGGGCTGGGTTTGAACCTGCCAGCCTTGGTGTATGTGGCTGGTGCCCTACCCACTGAGTAATGGGTGCTGCCTGAGACCTCATTTCTTATTAAAAAAAAAAAAGAGCGGTGCCTGTGGTTTAAAGGAGTAGGGTGCCAGCCCCATATACCGGAGGTGGCGGGTTCAAACCTGGCTCCTGGCCAAAAACTGCAAAATAACCCTCAAAAAACCAGGCATTGTGGTGGGTGCCTATACTTCCAGCTACTTGGGAGGCTAAGGCATGAGAATTGCTTGAGCCTAAGAGTTTGAGGTTGCTGTGAGCTGTGATGCTACCGCACTCTACTGAGGGCCACAAAATGAGACTCTGGCTTAAAAAGGAAAAAAAAGATCTGGTGGCTGTAAGAGGTTAGTTCGTCTCATGGCTTTCTTTTCAGTTCCAAATGTCAGTGTCACTATTTTTGTGCCAATACCATGCTGTTTTGATCACTATGGCCTTGTAGTGTAGCCAAAAGTCTAATAGGGTGACACCCCCAGCTTTTTTTTTATTACTAAGAATTGCCTTGGCTATACAGGGTTTTTTCTGGTTAGCAATGTGCTATTTGTGTAATAGAATTCTAAAATGAAATGGTGAGCTGGGGGTATTCCTCACTTTAGCATAGAATACAGTAGAGTTTAGGTGTTTTGAGGGCTTCACAAATATAGACTGTCTTGGGTATGTTAAGGATTCTGGTGGTAACACTCAGGGCTCCTAAAGCAGATTAAATAGCAGCCAGCCTTCAGGATCTAATAATAATAATAATGATGGCACGGCGCCTGTGGCTCAAGTGGCTAAGGTGCCAGCCACATACACCTAAGGTGGCAGGTTCAAATCCAGCCCAGCGCGCCAAACAACGACAGCTGCAACCAAAAAAAATAAAAAAGCCAGGCGTTGTGGAGGGCGCCTGTGGTCCTAGCTGCTTGGGAAGCTGAGGCAGGAGACTTGCTTGAGCCCAGGAGTTGGAGGTTGCTGAGCTGTGATGCCATGGCACTCTATACACGGGGACAGCTTGAGGCTCTGTCTCAAAAAAAAAAAAATGATGATGATAATAATAATAGTGCAGTTAAGATGAAGAGATATTGACTTATGTGTTGCAATGTTTTTCTTTCTTTCTTTCTTTCTTTTTTTTTTTTTTCAGTTTTTGGCCAGGGCCAGGTTTGAACTCACTACCTCTGGTATATGAGGCTGGTGCCTTTGAGCCATAGGCACTGCTCCTGCAATGTTTTTTTTACGGAAGAAAATTCTGTCTCTGGTCTCTCTTCACTGCGTGTGCTTCTCACACACTAGGAGAGATTCTAATTTTATTTGCTCAAATCTACTCTTGTCTTGTGTAAAAGAATGAGTGGGCTATAACTCAGTGAATACATACACTGAGGCTGGCGGGTTCCAGCCTGGCCCGGGCCTGCTAAACAATAATGACAACTGCAACCAAAAAATAGCCAGGCGTTGTGGCAGGAACCTGTTGGCCCAGCTACTTGGGAGGCTGAGGCAAGAGAATCCCTTAAGCCCAAGAATTTGAGGTTGCTGGGGGCTGTGATGCCATGTTACTCTACTGAGGGCAACATAGTGAGACTCTGTCTCAAAAAAAAAAAGAACAATGAGTAAAAAAAGCAGCTCAAGAATTTCAAGGACTAAGATTGGATGATTTTTTTTTTTAAAGACAGAGTCTCACTCTGCCTTCCATAGAGTGCCATGGCGTCACACAGTTCACAGCAACCTCCAACTCCTGAGCTTAGGTGATTCTCTTGCCTCAGCCTCCTGAGTAGCTGGGATTATAGTGGCCCGCCACAACAACTGGCTATTTTTTTCTTGCAGTTTGGCCGGGACCAGGTTGGAACCCACCATCCTTGGTATATGGGGCTGGTGCCCTACCCAGTGAGCAACAGGCGCTGCCCAGATGATTTTTTTTTTTTAACTCTGTCATCCTGAGTAATAGAGTGCACTGGGGTCTTCACACCTAGCTATAACCTCAAACTTCTGGGTTCAAGCAATCCTTCTGCCTCAGCCTCTTGAGCAGGGGTCCTCAAACTTTTTAAACAAGGGGCCAGTTCACTGTCCCTCAGACCGTTGGAGGGCTGGACTGCAGACCCCGGGACGAGTCACCTGCTAAGCAGGACAGGCAGTGGCAGCAAAAACACCCGGTGGGCCAGATAAATGTCCTAAGCGGGCTGCATGTGGCCCGTGGGCCATAGTTTGAGGACGCCTGCTCTTGAGTATCTGGAACCACAGGTTTCCACCACAATGCTTAGGTAATTGTTCTATTTTTAGTACAGACAGGAGTCTTCCTCTTATTCAGGCTGGTCTCTAACTCCTGAGCTCAAGCAATCCTTCCTCCTTGGCTTCCCAGCATGCTAGGATTATAGGCAATGAACCACTTCGATCAGCCAAGACTGGATGATTAATTTGTATTAGAAAGTAGACCAAGGACCAGTTATAAGAGGGAATCAACAGAGGGAAAAGAGCAGTGTAAGCAGAATTTTTCCTTTCTTTTTTTCTTTGGGCAGAATCTTGCTCTTGGCCCTAGCTAGAGTGCAGTGGTAGTGGTATCATTGGAGCTCACAGCGGCCTTAAACTCCTTGGCTCAAGCAATCCTCCTGCCTCAGCCTCCAAGTAGCTGGGACTATAGGCAGGCACCACTGCGCCTAGCTAATATTTCTGTTTTTAGTAGAGACATGGGTCTTGCTTTTCCTCATGCTAGTGTCAAACGTCTTGACCTCAGACAGTTTGCCTGCCTCAGCCTCTCATAGTGCTAGGATTACAGGCATGAGTCACAGAGCAGAGTTGTGTGTTTCCTTTTTTAATTGTGAATTGTGAGTGGAAATGACTATAGAGGGTACAGGGGAGGTGCAGAGGTTATGAGAAGCATTGTGAACAGAAAGTATTGGGAAAGATGATGTTGAGAGGTAGGTGGTGCTGTGGAGTTTGAATTGGATCTAATTTTATTTTCTTTGAAGATCTTAATATTTTAAGGCTTAAAAATTGCTTTTAACGTGCCTTTTTTTTTTTTTTTTTAGGTTAGACTTGTTTCTTATATGTGATGCTGTTCCAGTACTGGACTCATGGAGGCTGAGCGTTTAAGGTAATAATAGGTAATGTTTATAGAGCACTTTCTATGTGCCAGGCAACAAACTAAATGCTATACCTTTATTCTCATTTAATCCTCACACAGCCTGTGGGGTTGGAAGTAATGTTGTACCTATTTAATAGATCGAAAAAAAATTGAGGTGCAGTGGTTAAGTTCAGCTGAACCAAAAATAAAGCCCACTGTTGAAATCTAAGAGATGAGTCACTGTGCCTGGCCTGGGGAATTTAAGGTGATTAATATGGATAACAGAAATCTTTGTTGATTTCTTCTCACTTGAGATACTTTTTACAGGTATTTTCAGCTTTAAGAAACCCTATTAGGGTTTCTTATTGAAGCCTTCTTGGTGCATTTAATTGCTTATTTATAGATCACATTAGTTATTGTACTTGCCAGATTTAGAGGATAACTGGGAGGGTTTCTAACACTACTCACTGGATGAAGATCAGTCAGAAAATGACAGTTGAACATCTCTGACATAATGTAGATTAATGGAAGTTTTTTTTTTTTTTGAGAAGGAGTCTCATTTTGTCACCCTCAGTAGAGTGCTGTGGCATCACGGCTCATAGCAACCTGCAACTCTTGGGCTTAAGCGATTCTCTTGCCTTAGCCTCCTAAGTAGCTGGAACTACAGGTGCCCGCCAAAATGTCCAGTTATTTTTTGGTTGCAGTTGTCATTGTTGTTTGGCAGGCTCGGGCTGGATTCGAACCCTCCAGCTCCAGTGTATGTGGCTGGCGCCCTTAGCTGGTAAGCTACAGGTGCCAAGCTGGAAGTTTTTTTTTTTTTTTTTTATCACAGGGGGCCAGTTTTTTAAACAGGCTTGTATTCAAGTAATGGAAGTATTTTTAAGTTTATGAAAATTCAGATTTACATGCTATTTTGAGTAGTTCTCCATGTTGGTTCTACTTTCAGCTGGGTAAAGTAAAATTTTCCTTTCCCTGGCCTTTTAAAAAAGAGACCTTTAGGGCGGCACCTATGGCTCAGTGAGTAAGGCTCCGGCCCCATAGACTGAGGGTGGCGGGTTCATACCAGGCCCTGGGCAAACTGCAACCAAAAAAATAGCCGGGCGTTGTGGAGGGTGCCTATAGTCCCAACTACTTGGGAGGCTGAGGCAAGAGAATCACTTAAGCCCACAAAAAAAAAAAAAAAAAAAAGAGAGAGAGAGACCTTTACTAAGATATAATTGACATACAGTAAATTACACATATTGAATGTATATAATTTAAGTCTTGCCATATGTATATACCAAGGAAACTGCCACCACAACCAAGGTAATGAACATATTCTTCATTCCCACAAGTTTCCTTATCCCCATTTGTAATCATTCTCCCAACCTCTGTGATCTCCAGGTATCCACTAATCTTCTTTATATCACTGTAGAATAGTTTGTGTTGTCTAGAATTTTATGTAAATGGAATCATAGAGTATATACACTTTTTATTTTTATTTTTTTTACTCAGCAGAATTATTTTGAGATTCATTTGTTGTTCAATGTATCAGTAGTTCATTCCTTTTAAGTGTTAGGTAGCAATTCATTCTTTAGATAAATCACAATTTGTTTATTCATTCACTTGCTGATGGACATTTGGGTTGTTTCTAGTTTTTGGCAGTACGAATAAAGCTGTACCATAAATATTTGTGTAGAAGTCTTTGTGTGGATGTATACTTTTTTTTTTTTTTTTTAAGAGACAGAGTCTTACTTTATGGCCCTCGGTAGAGTGCTGTGGCTTTACAGCTCACAGCAACCCTCCAGCTCTTGAGCTTAGGCGATTCTCTTGCCTCAGCCTCCCAAGTAGCTGGAACTACAGGTGCCTGCCACAACGCCCGGCTATTTTTTGTTGTTGTTGCAGTTGTTGTTAGCTGGCCCAGGGCAGGTTCGAACCCATCACCCTTAGTGTATATGGCCGGCACCCTGCTGACTGAGCTACAGGTGCTGCCCAACATCGGCAATTTTTTCTTTTTTTTGCAATTTTTGGCTGGGGCTGGGTTTGAACCTACCACCTCTGGCATATGGGGCTGGAGCCCTACTCCTTTGAGCCATAGGTGCTGCCCCAACATTGACTATTTTTTATGTTTTATTTATTTATTTTGAGACAGAGTTTTACTATGGTTGCCCTCAGTAGAGTGCTATGGTGTCACAGCTCATAGCAACCTCGAACTCTTGGGCTTAAGCAATTCTCTTGACTTAGCCTCTCAAGTAGCTGGGACTATAGGCACCCACCATAACCTGGCTACTTTTTTTCCTTATTGTTGTCATTGTTGTTTAGCAGGCCCTGGCCGGGTTCGAACGCACCAGCCCTGGTGTATGTGGCTGGCACCCTAACCACTGAGCTATGGGTGCTGAGCCAACACCAACTGTTTTTTAAAGATGGGATTTCAGTGTGGCTCAGGCTGGTCTAGAACTCATGAGCTCAGGCATTCCACTTGTCTTAGCCTCCCAAGTACTGGGAGTGAGCCCGCTTGCCTGGCTGCAACCTCAAACTCTTGGGCTCAAATGATTATCTTGTCTCAGCCTCCCGAATAGCTGAGACTACAGGCACTCACCACAACACCTTGTTATTTTTTAGAAATGGGGTCTTACTTTTGCTCAGGCTGATCTGTCTGAAATCTGAGAACTCAAGCAGTCCACCAGCCTCAGCCTCCCAGAGTGCTGGAATTACAGGCGTGAGCCACCATGCAGGGCCTCCCTCCCTACTATATTTCTGGTAACCTATAATATAATTTGCTTTCCATCTTTATGGATTAGCCATAGAAAAAGAATCATGCAATATTTGGCCTATTGTTGGGTGGCATCTGTGGCTCAGTGAGTAGGGCACTGGCCCCATATACTGAGGGTTGTAGGTTCGAACTCCTCCCCAGCCAAAATTGCAACAAAAAATAGCTGGGCGTTGTGGCGGGTGCCTGTAGTCCCAGCTACTTGGGAGGCTGAGGCAAGAGAATCACCTAAGCCCAGGAGTTGGAGGTTGCTATGAGCTGTGTGATGCCACGGTGCTCTACCCAGGGCAATAAAGTGAGACACTGTCTCAAATATATATTTTTATATATATATCTGGCCTATTGTGTCTGACTTCTTTCACTTAGCATAGTATTTTCGATGTTTATCTAAGTTGTAGCATGTATCGGTACTTTGTTCCTTTTTCTGGCTGAATAATATTCTACTGTAAGTATATATAGTGATTTGTTTATTCATCAGTTGATGGACATTTGGGTTATTTCTACCTTTTGAGTATTCTAATAATGCTGCTACAATTATTCCTATAAAAATATCTGTTTGAGTCTTTGTTTTCAGTTCTTTTCAGATATACCTAAAAAAAAAGAGAGAAAGAGAGAGAGATACTTGAGTGTAATTGCTGGGCATATGGTAATTCTGTGTTCAACTATTTCCCACATTGCTGTGCCATTTTCCATTTATTTTATTTATTTTATTTTATTTTTTGCAGTTTTGGCCAGGGCTGGGCTTGAACCCCCACCCCCGGTATATGGGGCTGGTGCCTTATTCCTTGAGCCACGGGCGCCGCCCAGCCATTTTCCATTTATACCAGTAATGCAGGAAGATTCCTATTTCTCACATCCTTCCCCAAACTTACTTTGTAGATTTTTTCTTTTTGAGACAGTGTCTCACTATGTCACCCTCAGTAAGGTGCTGTGGCATCACTCCTCATAGCAACCTCAAGCTCTTGGGCTTAAGTGATTCTCTTCCCTCAGCCTCCCAAGTAGCTGAGACTATGGTGTCCGCCACAACGCCTGGCTATTTTTTGGTTGCAGCTGTCATTGTTGTTTGGTAGGCCCAGGCTGGATTGGAACCTGCTAGCTCAGGTGTATGTGGCTGGCACCCTAGCTGCTTGAGCCACAGGTGTTGAGCCAGACTATTTTTGTTGTTGTTGTTGTTGTTATAGTCATTGTTTAGCAGGCCCAGGCTGGGTTCAAATCCTCCAGCCTCAGTGTATGTGGCCTGCGCCCTAATCATTGAGCTACGGGCACTAAAGCCTAAATTTTTTCTTTCTTTTTTTTTTTTTTTGAGATAGAGTCTCACTTCATCCCTCTCCGTAGAGCGTTGTGCTGTCACAACTCACAGCAACCTCAAACTCTTGGGCTTAATTGATTTTTTTTTTTTTTTTTTGAGACAAAGTCTTACTATGTCACCCTCAGTAGACTGCTATGGCATCATAGCTCACAGCAACCTCAAACTCCTGGGCATAAGGCATTCTCTTGCCTCAGCCTCCCGAGTAGCTGGGATTACAGGCACCAGCCATAACGCCTGGCTATTTTTTATTATAGTTGTCATTATTGTTTAGCAGGCCTAGGCTGGGTTTGAACCCACCAGCCCTGGCTTATTTGGCCTGTGCCCTAATCATTGACCTGTGGGCACTGAGCCTAGATTTTTTTCTTTCTTTTTTTTTGAGACAGAGTCTCACTATGTGGCTGTCAGTAAGCTCAATCAGTCAACTGCCTCGGCCTCTCAGAGTGCTAGGAGTACAGGCGTGAGCCATAATGCCCCCTGGTCTGATTTATTTATTTATTTATCTATCTTTTTGTTTATTGAGACAGAGTCTTGCTCTGTTGCCTGGGCTACAGTGTCATGGCCTTTGCCCAGCTCACGTCATCCTAAAATACCTGGGCTGAAGCAATCCTTTTTACCTCTGCCTCCCATGTATCTAGGACTATGGGTTGCTGCCACCATGCCCAGCTAATTCTACTTTAAGTAGAATGGGGGTTTCCCTTTGCCCAGCTAGGACTCAAACTCCTCACCTTAAGCCATCCCAAGGTCTCCCAAGTAGCTGGGACTATAGGTACCTACCACATGCCTGGCTATTTATTTTTGGCCTCCCAAGGTCTCCCAAGTAGCTGGGACTATAGGCACCTACCACATATCTGGCTATTTCTTTTTGTTGTTGTCATTGTTGGTTAGAAAATCCGAGTGGGATTGGAACCCACCAGCCCTGGTGCATGTGGCCGGTGCCCTCACCATTGAGCTATGGGCGCCGAGCCTGTCTGG